TCAAACCAGAACCAGGAAAACCAGTGGAGGAGTGGGAAAACGTCGAAGTTTGATGATTTTAGCGTTTGAGGTTATAAATATTATTTTTGAGAATTTGACACACTGGCACCATTAGGGGAACGGGCAAAATTTACACTAAGTTTGACATCAATTTTCTTTCGAACCGATCGCTCGATTCAATTTTTTTTCTTCACGAAATGTAGCTTCATTCTTCACGAATACATCTGAGAAATAATTACCTTCAAAAGATGAGTCTTTCCATCATATACAGGGGTGTAAAGGAAGTACGGATTTTTCGGTATTTTTTTAGACATCCTGTGGACTGAACCACTGATTATTGAAACGATTTCTCGACACCAAATTGGAGCCCAATCTATTCCGAATATTTTCGTTTTTTATTCATTTTGATATCTCAATTATTCAAGAAAATACAGAGTTTCAGAAGAAAGGTGGATATTGGTATCAATTTTACACCTCAAAACTCAAATTGGATCTGAAAATGTGTCGTTTCTTGACTAACCTAACCTAACCATGACTAAACCTCTACCATAGGAGACAGAAGTAGTGAAATCAAATTGTTCATTTTGTTCACCTCGGCGATATAGTCTTTCCCTGCCATCTATTGAATTGGTGCAGATGCGGCTCTCATATGTTAAAAGAACATTGGCCCACTGGTCATTTTCAATTAATGCTACAGCCCTCGCCACATCAGTAGGAATCAAATCTCTCACGTTGAATTTTCATTAATCAAATTTATGAATTGTGAATCGCTTGACTTTGACAATAATTAATGACATTAACAAAAGAGCCAACGTTGATTAACAAAAATAGCATTTCACCAAAAGAACATTGGAGCAACTTTTATCACCCCTGCATATTCATGAGAGTATTCGTATATGTGTCTTTAAACAGTAAACCGATAGGTGAAACTGTGAACAATTCTCATCTTGAAGTAAAAATCCTCACAGAAACAAGTTGAAAAACGACACGTTCTCCCCAGTTCGAGTTTCGAGGTGGTAAAATTAATACCAATATTCACCTCTTCTTTGAAACTCTATATTTTCTTGGATAATTGGGATATCAAGATGAATAAAAAACGAAAATATTCGAGATAGATTGGGCTATAATTTGGTGTTGGAAAATCGGTTCAATTATCAGTGGTTCACTCCACAGGATGTCTTAAAGAATACCGAAAAATCCGTACTTTCTTTACACCCCTGTATATGATATACAGACGAATCGTTTGGAAGTGGTTATTTCTCAGATGTATTCGTGAAGAATGAAGCTACAATTCTTGAAAAACAAATTTGAATCGAGTGATGGGTTCGAGAGAAAATTGATGTCAAACTTAGTGTAAATTTTACGAGAAATTTTACCCGTTCCCCTAATTGTGCCAGTGTGTGTAGTTTAAAAATTGGAGTATGATGAGGGTATCTCGGAGGGTATGGTACATAATTTTCCACTTTAGGATGCTGTAAATTTTCGAGAATAAAATTTCCAGATTATCTATTTCTCTGGACTGGTTCAGCATTTGTTACATTGAAAAAGAAGCACAGACTGTCAGTGTGGCATAAAATAATTATATCTGTACTTGTCAAAATGAATCACTCATTTATAATGAATGCTTTTCAGTTTTTATGCTCTGTGAACGTGAAATAATCTAGCAAAATACCACTGAGTTACAGTTACATTAATTAATGTAACTGTATAACTCATTTGATTGCCAACGTCACCGATTGTCACTGAGAACTGAAAAGTTTCAAGACAAATAAGAAATTGCTATTCAAATATCCATTTTTTATATTGAAAACGGGAGCAGATTCGTTCCCGAAACGTCCAAAGCTAAGTGAAAATCTGATATTTTTCCTATATTTATTTCTCTTCTCCAAACCTTTTTCAATACAAATTGTCACTGACAAGCTAGTGAATTTTTCTTTTAGACTCACTGATAGGAAAATTCCTCAAACGCAGTGACATTTTGGGGCAAATCATCTAATTTGTCCTTACTACACGTATATTGAAATAATATTCATATTTTGGAATCTGGAATAATGATCGTGATATTACTTATGATAAGCACACGTTGTATCTGGTTTGTTATTGGTCGGATAATTAGGTGACGTATGACGTGGCAATGTTGACAGTTCACAGAAAAGCCATCTTGATGTGATTTTAATAAACCGTAGCTAAACCTTCGCTGTTCATTCCGATAAAGAGGTGAGCAGTTGCAAAAAATGAATGTTTTAGGATTTTGTTTCCATATGGCGACCTTAGATATGATAATATCAGTTATGAGAACACCGCGGAGAACACTAAATAACATAATCTTATAACATTATAGTGACAGGAGTAGGTGTTCATACAATACATGTAAGTATTTATTAAAGAATGAGGTTGAGCGGCTTGAGGTGTAAAATAGATGATTCACAACTAACAACGTTGAGTGAGTCATTTATATGATATTATGTTCGGGAAATTCGAGATGATTGCAAATACCTTCCAGGAAAAAATATCAAATAACCAACTCCCTTTGTCCAGATGCGTACAGGCGTTACTCGAAATGGCTTTAATTAGATTAACAGACTCAGATTACGCGTCAGCTAATTTGAACTTATCCTGCTTCACAACAGAACCAGTAGGAACCAGTATCAAACTCGCCATAAGAACTTTGACATACCTACCGAGGCTGTGTCAGTATTATATACTTCTGAAAAACATCTCCCTCTACGAGAAATTCACGAAAAAATTTAAAGAATTATTAATATCTGGCACTTTCTACAATGTATAAATGATATTTTGGACAGGAATAGCCTCCAGTCAATTTACAGATAATTTTATACACGTTTATTCGACTCTTATTTTTCTAAATGTACTAAAATTGCTGTATTGCATTGTTCTAATCGGTTCTAATATTTTATGTATCTATTTTACGATGTTTTAATTCAATTAGTAGGTAGCTATAAACAATATGTCTTGTCCAACACCCTTATAATTGTGGTAATTTATGGATGAATATAGTTTCTTTTTTATTCGATTACGAGTAAGTGCAAAAAGGGCCTAATAGGTATATAAAATCCGAATTTAACAACTTGATCATAATACTAGTTTTTTGACATCTACCTACCTAAATATATTTTCAACGGACTAATAACTTGTAAATAGTGTTTGACTTGTGGTAGGTATGTGCACGAGGATACCCACAACGAAGTTCAAGGAAAAACCAAATACACGTTTTTTATACTATTCAATTATTATATAACCAAAGATATCGAATTCATGAATAATTAGAAATACTTACATACTAGAATACAATAATATATTATGCATTGTATTTATAAGACTTCAATTAAAAAAAATGCATCAGCACCTGAATTTCCATAATAGGAAATTGCGAGGCAAATTATTGTTTCAAATTACGTCTACAATGTAATGATAATCATAGTAAGCTGTGACCGGCTGTGACCATGTTTCTTTCAATGCATTTGTCTAAAAATTCGTGTTTATTTTGCCATAGCAGCATCTGATGGAGATATTAAAAACTGTCTCGTTCAAAGGAGCGATAAGAAAGCGGAAGAAAATGATGACAAATAAACCGAGACAACCTCAAAGCAGATAATTTTTTATATCTCGGTACTCGGTATAAGTGAATCATGAGGATCCTTTCTATTTTCTATATGAATATCAAATTACCATTGAAAAGGGATTTCTTCTTACTTCTTACCCTCAATAACATAATTTCTAAAGGGTGATTCATGGGTTTTAGTTTTCCTCGTTTTTTACCAAAAAGTTCAAACGAACAAGGAGACCACCAGAATGGGTAAGTAGGTTACATATAGGTAGCCAGGTAGGTATAGCCACAGATTAAGGTTTGTTAATCTGTGGTATATAGCTCTAGCAGATATTCATTCATTAGCACAAGCGTTTCCTGGCCAATTTTACGTAATTTGAAAATAGCAATCGGTAACATTCACTTTTAATTTCTAGGCAATCAAACACGGTGTACCTACCTCACTTTCTAGTAAATACTTAATTGGGGAGAGGTCACTGCTCAGTATTTTTTAGGATAATCACTGATGGTACCTAAATAATTGCCATGAGATTGTGTTGATGGGTATAAAAAAAATTATACCAAATAACAAATATATTTTAAAACCAATGAAAACCTTGAATGCTTTTATATGACTTTTATGAAAGATTCTAGACTTTTTATACCTACCTACCTATACCCAATAAACTCAATGTAAACCTAAATCATAAAATAATAGCTAGATAGGTAGGATTAGAGTTCCTAAAACAGCAGTGTCAAGTACCTTTAGGAACTCTAGGAAGGATCTGTCCTATCAACAGCAGATTGTTAATCTGATTTATACCAACCTGTTTTATTTTGATTATTGAAATTTGAAATGATTATAGTAAATATTATAATACACCTACCTACCTATCTTCCTGAGTTCCTGCTTGGGTTTCCATGCTACCTAGCGAGTAGATGTTCATTACAAACAAATCTATAGTTTTCTAGTAGGTAATTTACATCTTAAACCCGTTTATAAAGGTAAATTAATCGAGAAAGTAGTTAATACATATGACCGATCATCTCTCGGATTACCTACTCTGGGTGAAATCGTTTGAAAATTAGTAGAAAACAGGAAAACACTGTTATTATACAATAAAAAACTGAGGACGGAATAGGTACCTGCTGATTTCTAACCATACGTCCATTAAACATTGATTATTTGTATTTGAGAACCACCTACGCTCATAATATGAAGTCCTCGTGTATCGAATTTAAAAATAGCTCTAGGATATCCTACTATAATACACCTGTCCCTAAAAAACCGTTACCGGTCCAGTATAATACTGCCATATGCAGATACGAAAACACAAAAATGATTGAAACACTTGTTTTATAGAAAATACTCAAAATAGCTAGCTAGATACACAATAAAAACTGCAGTGACCGCACCTGACGATGATGGGCAAATAAAAGAAACTGTACTCACAACATTCCTGAACATTTGGTACACACAAAGGATCCTATAGTGACGTTCACGTACGTGGGGCCTCGCTGGTTGCAATCGAAACAGTACTTGTTTTGCGGCAGCGTACCTAATTCGCGTATTGTCTTAAGATTTTTCTCGTCCTGCTTTTTGCGTGACGAAGCCATTCTAGACACAAAGACAGACACTACCAACTCGAGCAGCTCTCCTCTACTGGCACTGGCTCGTTCGATCTGTCACTTTCCACTGAGTCACTGACTTGACTTCTTTCTGACTCATTCCACTGACAGTCTGACTCACTGTCAGTGAGTTGAATGACATGATTCATAAATGGCATGGAATGCGACATATCACCACAGAAATACGCGAATGACTTGACAGTATTGACACTTTGGGGTTGTGAGGCTTCTTATTTACCATACTTACGTATGGATGATTTGTGTATGGACCATGACGGCTAAATATCTAGACTGTGGGACGCAAATTTCAAATTTATGTTTGTTCATTATTCGCGATAGAAAATAACACCGCCCCATCTGACGGCAACACAGCTTTCAAGAACTCCGATAGGTGGTGTATGCTTATTTTCTCTCGCGAATTGGGATACCGTTAATATATTGACAAAGAATATATTGGATCTTTCTTTTATTTAATTCAGACCAGGGAAGATTCCCTCTTATCCTGATATCTATTATGAAACAAAATTTAAAAAAAAAACGAAATTTGATGCGAACAGCCCTTCTGCTCCAAATAAGTTTCAGAAATACATTCTGAGAATTGAAAAAGATAGAACGGAATAAATAAATATCAATGGACAATCTCGGTCTTTTGAACTTTGATTGATCACCGTTAATAAGTGCCGTTAAATCGATAATTAATAAAGGCAATATCGTTCTACACAGTATTGACACAGTCTCAACAGGATGAAAGAACAGGTTTTCGAAAAAAAAAACCTTTAAGCAATATACTCCAAAAAAATGGGTTTGGAAAGCTGAAACATTTTCCTCGTTTCGACTGAACTTATCGACAGAAATCTATTATATTGATAATTTCATAGGTGGGATAATATGGAAAATGATAGGAACAAATTATGAGAACAAATATTATGAAGTAAGAGACTTTTCATTGGCTACAAATTTTATTTTAGCACCTTTTGATTTTTATATATTATATTCAACAGAATTCGTAGATTCAACTAAACCTAAATTAACACTACAGACTAGATAAACCTTAAAGTTGTATAGTGACAAATAAAATCTCTGGAATAATCTACAAAATTGATTTCACAAAATATTTTCCTTATCTTTACACATTATATGGTTAATAAATATATTATGATGAAAATATGGTAAGTTCAATTTTTTTTCAGTCCATATATTTTTAGTTCTTTGAAAAAACAAACGAGACTATATTTTTTCTATAATCTTCAGAGGAGTAATCATGGGGAAAACGTCAGATAACAATATATAATATTTCAATGTCTAAGAAAAAGTTTCAAAAACGGAACTTCTTATCTATATATATATATATTTACAATTAACAAAACCTCATATATACAGAGAGGGATCCAGTATTTTCTCAAGGTTTGAAAAAATTGGCATAAGTAGTCTGAAATTCCATACTGAACGACGCTGTAGAGTAGATCAGGAGAAAAATAGTGAAGGTATACCTACCTATTAACAGAGTTTCATAATAAAATTGGTCACACTATTAAGGATTAGGAGCACATTTTTTACAGAAAAATTGGACAGTATAGGTACATTTTTTCCAAGTAAAATTGTTTTGATTTTCCTGTTGATTATAATCAAAAAATGTTTTGTTTGTAATAAATTATTTGGTTTGTTGATTACTGAGTATTTTGCATAAGAAATTCTGAAGTTATAAGGAATCAGAGTTAATTACAATATTATGAATAACTTATTATTCCCTGTTGAAAAAATTCAGGTGATTGAACAAACACTTCAGAATTATGGATAATTTGATAGGTAGTCGAAAGATATTTCTATACACGTTGGTTGAATATAATCTCTGGCGATAGTACATCCAAAAACAGATTTATTTCCAAAAATGGACATCAAGGAATACACTCTTTGGAAGTAGGGGATGATAAATGTCAGTTTTACTAAACTTGTGATAAATTATATTAAATTTAGGATAAATTGTAATTAGTGATTTATAATCGATTTGACTTCATGATGAATGAAGAAGCATCTGGGCCACTATGTAGATTTTTTGTAGATCAAACTTCAAATTTTGATGTAAATGCAGAGGTTGAGTACTCCATTCAGGACAGCTATTACTGGATTACCACAGTATGTGACATTTTGAAATTTTTGCACCGTTTGCACATAGCAGAATGAATTTTGCCATCAGGAAAAGCTATAAAGGGGGGACAAAAAAAGAATCTATGTATATGTTGAACTTTGATACCCTGTATCTCAAAAGTTAGGACTTTTGCCACATACGTTCATATGAAATTTTATTCTTGAAATGACTCCATGAATCGCCCCTTTGAATATCAGCATGGCATTAAGGAACACCCTGTATTTACTGGTAGTTTTTCGATACTGAGCACATGATGATCAGTGGTCCCACCAACTCAGAGAAATTTCGAATAACAATAAAATTGACAGCATAAATGGCAAGACCTAGAATAAAAGATGAAAAAAATAATAGTGAGTGGACTCCTAACCTCCCAAGAATGGGGAAGTTTCCTTCAGATGAATTTTCATAAAATGAGTTCGGAACTTTCCAGTTTTATGTCCACGCTGTACAGAATGGCGACCGATAAAGTCCAAGTCGTTTCCATCTTCAAATTAAAGCAATTTCGAATTTTCGGGCCGGCAAAGCTGTGACGTACATTCCGAATTTAGTCTGAAAATAGCTGATGGTGAAAAATATAGCTGGCGGATAGCTAACGAATGAAAAACGGATCAAAAAAATAGAAGAAGTAAAACTGGTAAACAAAAACATACATAACCACAAATGCACTCGGAGCAGGAACGCAGAAGGTAGTTGGCTTCATTCTGACAGGTTATCGTTTTGATAGGTCGCGTGCACGAAGACCGACCCTGGAGGCAAAATATTGAAACACAACCTCATTCTTCTGTGAATTATTGAAACACAACCTCACTTTTTCATTTGGTTACAGAGGAATCAAAAGGTTGAAATAGTTTTTCACAATATTTTGGCATACGAATCGTGTTTCTTGCGTTATTCATTAATTCAAGCATGCCTTCGCATTGTGCTGTTGTACAATGCACAAAAAATGCAGCAAGAGACTAGGGAATACGATTTTTCAGGTAAATAGTAATCTCACATAGTTAGCATTATGAAATGTTGTCATTCCTTATTAAAATTCCTTCTGCCTTCTGCCACTTCTGCAATACAAGCTAATGCTGCTAATAGATTGAAAATGTCTACAACACACACGATCGTCAGCATGTCAGACCAGTCCTACCGATTGATTGCATATGAATCCAATCTTCTTGCATTATTCTAGAAATTTCAGGTATATTTCTATTAGCTGATCCTATTGCAGAAGGAATTCCGATGAGAAATCAGAGAAATAACCAAATTTCAAAAATGAAAACTATGTGAGTGACTATAGTAGGTACTTACTTTTGAATGATAATGTACCATCCGGATTTCTTCATCTTCCGCTGCAGTTTTTGTGCATTTTACAACAGCACCATGTGATGGCATTAGCGAATTGATGAATAGCGGAAAAATACGATTCATATGCCAAAATAATTGTGGAAAACTATTTCGATCACTTGTAAACAAATATGCTTTGCCTCCAGGGTCGGTCATCTGACAGTTCTTGCACGCGACCTATTGAAATATCTCGAATAGGGCTCGATCCTACTCGAAAATATCATTGAATCAAATAATCACTATCGGCTAGATTCCATGATACTATCTTTCCTCATTTACTGCCATCGGTCAGTACAGAATGAAGCCGACACACATGGCTCCTTCCTCTTGTTGTGCCTGTCAGTATTTTGAGTGGTGTGGACGAACTCGAAGTATTAGGCGCTGTTGCAAGATATAACTTGCAACTTTCCTAGAAAATAGATCCGTTTCATTAAGGAACGAATTCAATAGCAAAAAAATGACGGACAAGTGATGAATAACATATTGCAATATAACGATAGCGAAAAATTATAGATACTATCGCAAACTATCATAATTTATCCTTATTAGTAATCAACTTCATTCAGCCAATGAGAGATTAATGGGAATTATTCATAATACTTGACAAAGTAGGATTGAAGAACCTTTATCCCATTGCTGCTATGATATAGTTATTATGCATTTACAGAACAATTTCCGGAAATCTAGACATATTGATTATGTTGGCAACGTCGTACTGGCACAGGGAATCGTATTTTAACTCTGTGTGAATGTGGATTTTCAGAAAGTACGTCATTCATAGGAATGGTGGAGGAGCCAAGTTCCTCTTTCATTTATTTTTTCCTGATGTGAAATTTGATCTTACGAAAAAAAAAAAGAAGAAAAAATACGTATATACAGGGTGTCTGTAAAAGGTTGGGACATGGCTCGGCTATGGACCCCTGGGAAAAAAACAAGTTGATCGATTTTCATGATTTTTGGCATGGCATGTTCTGTGACTGTGAGTCACTTTTTGAGATATTTTTGATCATCATCAGTGGCGTTAAAGTTCTTACCTCAGGTCCTAAATAAGTATCACTAAATTTGTAACGCGAGAGTTCTTGTAAAGCCCGCGAGGACCAGCAACATATCAGTTTGTTCACAATAAGAATACATTGTAGCCATGATCAATAAACAGTCCGACTAATTAGATTAATTTTCAAAAATGCACAGGATGCATCAGATCAAAAATTATTTATTTGCAAACGAACCTCGCGATTTCAAAAATTAACACTATACAAAAAATATTTCTGATGGGAATACCTTGCTGGGAAAAAAACTGGAAGTTTCCAGTCTGACCTCTGAAAAGTTATCACCAAATTTGTACGGCAAAATGGTTGTTTGAAACACTTGCAGAGGTCACTGATGATGATCAAAAACATCTCAAAACGTGACTTACAGTCACAGAACATGCCATGCCAAAAATCATGAAAATCGATCTCAGCCTACTCTTTCTATGAACAAAATTATTTTTTTCCAAAAATACTTCAACGTCTTGTACCTACCAACTCAACGGGACGATTCTGGATATAGGTAAGTTGGTCTAAATCAACTTGTTTTCATCCCAGGAGTCCACTGCCGAGCCATGTCCCAACCTTTTACAGACACCCTGTATTAATTTTTTCCAAACTTCACAGTGAGATGAAAACCTCAATAAAGGAAACTTCCCCATTGGTACCGCCCCAGCCAACCCCGTTCCCCACCTCCATTAACTAATTTCTCGCGGGGAAGAAAGCTGCCCGGAGAGCCTCCTTAGCTGGGGCTCTCCCTCATCTCCTGGTCGTTCTTCGAGGCCAGCAGCCCGTCGACCGGCGCAGCCCTACCGGGGGAAGGGCTGTCGACGGTGCGGAAGTTGTAGCCCGGCGAATCGGCGCCGGAAAGGGACTCCGGGGTGCCAACGGAACTGAGAGAGCCCGGTAGCGAGTTGCCTAAGTAGAAAAATTGGAAAGAAAGTTAGGAGGTTGGTGTTTAACCATATTGTGATACCACACGTGATTATTATTTTGCTGGAAATTTTCGGCGAATGTTACGGTAGCTTGTTGCCTATAGAGTTCCTAAATGTACTAGACACTGCTGTTTTGACGTTTTTTGTAAATCAGGCATTCCAGAACACGTGACTTTTGACAAATTTCTAATGGCCGCCTGTAGGCACACAAGTATTTTTTGTTGATTTACGTAGCAGCAGTATAATCTTTGGTAGATATATCAAAAAATAATAATGATTGTTTTGAATAAAAGTGGATATTTATAATCCTTGGACCGCTATAACAAAGATATTGCGACACGAAAGTATGTGTGCCTACAGTCGGCCATATTGATTTAGATGGTTTGACAGCATCTTGGACACTAGATGAGCAGTGACAATCAAACATAACCACAAACGATTTTGAAGCAAATCATATAGGTCGCGTGCACGAAGACCGACCCTGGAGGCAAAATATTGAAACACAACCTCATTCTTCTGTGATTTATTGAAACACAACCTCACTTTTTTATTTGGTTACAGGGGAATCAAAGGAATGAAATAGTTTTTCACAATATTTTGGCATACGAATCGTGTTTTTAGCGCTATTCATTAATTAGCATGCCTTCGCATTGTGCTGTTGTACAATGCACAAAAAATGCAGTAAGATACTAAAGTATATGATTTTTCAGGTAAATAGTGATCTCACTTAGTTATCATTATGAAATGTGTTGTCATTCCTTATTAAAATTCCTTCTGCCTTCTGCCACTTCTGCAATACAAGCTAATGCTGCTAATAGATTGAAAATGTCTACACACACACACGATCGTCAGCATGTCAGACCAGTCCTACTGATTGATTGCATGAATCCAAGCTTCTTGCATTATTCTAGAAATTTCAGGTATATTTCTATTAGCTGATCCTATTGCAGAAGGAATTCCGATGAGAAATCAGAGAAATAACCAAATTTCAAAAATGAAAACTATGTGAGTGACTATAGTAGGTACTTACTTTTGAATCATAATGTACCATCCGGATTTCTTCATCTTCCGCTGCAGTTTTTGTGCATTTTACAACATTTCGATCACTTGTAAACAAATATGTTTTGCCTCCAGGGTCGGTCATCTGACAGTTCTTGCACGCGACCTATGGGTTGCGTGCAAGAACTGTCAGATAACCGACGCTGGAGGCAAAACATTGAAACAGAACGTCACTTTTCTTATTTGTTTACAAGTGATCGAAATAATTTTTCACAATTATTTTGGCATACGAATCGTATTTTTTCGCTATTCATCAATTCGCTCATGCCATCACATTGTGCTGTTGTAAAATGCACAAAAACTGCAGCGGAAGATGAAGGAATCCGGATGGTACATTATGATTTAAAAGTAAGTACCTACTATAGTCACTCACCTATAGTTTTCATTTTTGAAATTTGGTTATTTCTCTGATTTCTCATCGGAATTCCTTCTGCAATAAGAGCTAATAGAAATATACCTGAAATTTCTAGAATAATACAAGAAGATTGGATTCATGCAATCAATCGGGAGGACTGGTCTGACATGCTGACGATCGTGTGTGTTGTAGACATTTTCAATCTATTAGCAGCATTAGCTTGCATTGCAGAAGTGGCAGAAGGCAGAAGGAATTTTAATAAGGAATGACAACATTTCATAATGCTAACTATGTGAGATTACTATTTACCTGAAAAATCATATTCCCTAGTCTCTTGCTGCATTTTTTGTGCATTGTACAACAGCACAATGCGAAGGCATGCTTGAATTAATGAATAACGCAAGAAACACGATTCGTATGCCAAAATATTGTGAAAAACTATTTCGACCTTTTGATTTCTCTGTAACCAAATAAAAAAGTGAGGTTGTGTTTCAATAATTCACAGAAGAATGAGGTTGTGTTTCAATATTTTGCCTCCAGGGTCGGTCTTCGTGCACGCGACCTATACTCTCAATATACAAAAACATTTAGGAACTCTAGTTGTCTAATAATTTCGCCGAATGACATTGTTCATCAATAATTTTGACCCGTAGGCGAGAATTATTGAAACAATGTAATGAGCGAAATCAAAGTAGCTAGCTGGAGTATGTCAATCGACGAATATTTTCAGTCAAAATAGTACCACAGGTTGTATTCCTATGAGTATTCCATGATTGAGACAATAAACGAGAGGCTTGCGAGAGTTGCGCACACTGCATCCATCATTCTGGCTTCCAACATAATTGACGCTTCAAACGTCCAAAACTGTATCGCTTAAAAACCAGGAAGGTTTGTCACGTGTGGATCAATTCGGCTTCTGTTTTGGTAGATCCATTGTCGTTCTAGATGACAACCTAGTTAGGTAGTTAGTAGGAAGGAGCTATAATATACCTCCTCACACTAGGTCGCCTACTAGGTTTTCATTTAGATCGACAATGGTAGAGCAAGTCTGATAAAATTTAGTTACTAAAAAACTAACGCTGTAATACAGAAGAAATCGTGAAAATGGCCGATTCTGATTGATTCTAGAGACGAAGAGTGGAATAGTCAACAGGAAACACAAGAGCTTTTTATTATCGGATTTCTCTCGTAGCATGCGGAATAGATTTTTCAATATCTGTTGTGGTTTCTTTAGATTACCTGTGGTAGTGAGTAGACCTCCTCGGTCTACGCTGCCAGAATAACTGTACACTCTTTTAGCCCTAGGGCTGGCATGGATGTCATCGTCCAGCTTTCTTTTCACTCCCAACGGACTAGGTCTTAGCACGGGACTAGCGCTCCTCCTAACGGAAAGATAAAATGGATGTTCACTGCAAGGTATAGGTTGAAAAATTCTCAAAGAAAAACAGTAAAACACAGCGTCGATCGACCACAAAAATTATATCAACTAAATCATATTGTGACTAGTTTCGGCTCAACGGCCATCTTCAGACACATAAAAATACTTGAAAAGAGTAGAACATTACAAACAGAAAATAATTCTTTGTGCGTTTCTAACACTCCTGTATCTTACGTAATCGTTGGGTAAGGATCCTGAAATTTCCTGGAGCGAGAGATATACCAAAAATGCAGTCTATGACCAAGTGGGGTCATCTTCAGTGATATACACTGCTCGCCAACAGCCATGGAACCACCTCAATTTCCGGAAAATGATATTAGGAGTCAAAATAGGTTGAAAATCACTTCAGACTCGGAATCAGGGCGCCCAATTAACTAACTATTCATATTTTTCCTGAAAAATGTTCAGTTCTGAAAAAATAAATTTTGTTGCCCTTTCTTCGGAAGCACCCCAGTATCTTACGTAATTGACTCTATCTTTGGACTTTCCCTTCCTCCTGCAAATTTCAGAACCCTACTGAAATGGCTGAACTTCTGGAATGAACTGATGAAAAAATTCAATTGACCTAACCTCAAAAAATTCACAGTTTTTCGATATTGACCTCCGAATGTACGTATGGAAAATGACGTGACATCGACATACCGATACCGATAAACACTTTCAGATTTTTATTGTTCAACAACCATTGAGAATATTTCCAAATTCTTCATAGAATTACAGATTTATTTCCACAGTAGGAGTGGAGTGTTTGTACTGAAGTATACACAATACATAAATCGTATCGTATAGTATAATTGCAATGGATTGATCGTGGTATATGAAATATAATTTTTTCCTGACCCTCCTGACCTTGAAATTGTACAGAATAATATTCTGATGGTCAACTTTCATACAGTTGTTTGAATACCATTTAGGGGTCAGTAACAGTAAAACTGTCAATTTTTTGAGTTTAGGTCAATGAGATATTTTCATCAGTTCATTCATATCTACAACAAACCTACTTGATCGAGCCATTTTCATAGAATATTTTTCGAAAAAATTAGATTTGGAGTTCAATAGATCGCGTGCACGAAGACCGACCCTGGAGGCAAAATATTGAAACACAACCTCATTCTTCTGTGAATTATTGAAACACAACCTCACTTTTTTATTTGGTTACAGAGGAATGAAAAGGTTGAAATAGTTTTTCACAATATTTTGGCATACGAATCGTGTTTCTTGCGTTATTCATTAATTCAAGCATGCCTTCGCATTGTGCTGTTGTACAATGCACAAAAAATGCAGCAAGAGACTAGGGAATATGATTTTTCAGGTAAATAGTAATCTCACATAGTTATCATTATGAAATGTTGTCATTCCTTATTAAAATTCCTTATTAAAATTCCATCTGCCTTCTACCACTTCTGCAATACAAGCTAATGCTGCTAATAGATTGAAAATGTCTACAACACACACGATCGTCAGCATGTCAGACCAGTCCTACCGATTGATTGCATGAATCCAATCTTCTTGCATTATTCTAGAAATTTCAGGTATATTTCTATTAGCTGATCCTTTTGCAGAAGGAATTCCGATGGGAAATCAGAGAAATAACCAAATTTCAAAAATGAAAACTATGTGAGTTACTATAGTAGGTACTTACTTTTTAATCATAATGTACCATCCGGATTTCTTCATCTTCTGCTGCAGTTTTTGTGCATTTTACAACAGCACAATGTAATGGCATTAGCGAATTGATGAATAGCGGAAAAATACGATTAATATGCCAAAATAATTGTGGAAAACTATTTCGATCACTTGTAAACAAATATGTTTTGCCTCCAGGGTCGGTCATCTGACAGTTTTTGCACGCGACCTATATCGAGAAAACTGTCAATTTTTGGAGGTTAGGTCAATGGAACATCTGTTCAGTATATCAGAGTCTGCAACATACCAAAAATTCAGCGATTTTCATCGAGAGACATTTTTCCTATAATTTAGTGCGGGGTCCTTTGACCGCGATTGAATCAGCCTTTTTCTTCAAATTCATAACAAATACAATCCACATCATATCATAAACAAAGCGTCTCGTCACCTTATGATCGTCCTCGACCTGGTAGGGCTCTGGAACCCCATCCTGGTGGGCGAGGGCGAGTTGCACGTGAACGCGCCCACGCACGCCGGCAGCGAAATCTGCAACGGCCCCATCCGATTGGCCGCCTTCGCTTCGGCGCCGTCGTGCATCAGGCTGAGGTCCTCCCAGGACTGCGACATCTGCATGGCGTGGTGGATCTCGCGCTCGTGCGCCAGCTCGCGAACGTTCGTCGCCACTTCGTGCTCTTCGCGGCGCAGTTGGTTGATGCGCGGCCCCAGACGGGGGCCCGGAAGCTGCAAAGCGAGGAACCGATTCAAGGACGCGCAGTGAATCGACTCGGATCGGTCGACTTAGAGTCACAGAACATGCCAAAAATTATGAAAATCGATCTCAGCCTACTTTATTTATGAGCAAAATTATTCTATAACCTTCTCCTGGTACTAAGCTACCTCCCCCACCAATTTTTAGCCAAATCGATCCAGTACTTTCGGAGCCTATTCAATACAAACAAACAAACAATCAAATATTAATATAGATAAAATATTTTGTCCATCTTGAAATTCAATTTTACGAACTTTCCACGGCAACAACTCAAAATATGACAAAACTGCCCAAACATCCTAGAAATTCCCCAAATTTCTTCAAAATTCCTCGAATTTTCTAGGACTGTCTAGGTCTAGAACTTTAGAGAAAAAGAATTGATGTACCTATATACATTGACTTACATGCCTCAGGATGTGAAGTAATTAGAAAAATATGACAAGAAGAAGCTGGAAAAATCAAAATCAATCAATTCTACCACCTTAATTAACTCATAGAAATGATATTGAAATGCGTTAAGAATATTTATTGATTCTATTTGAATATGAGTAGAAATCAGAACTGTCTTTTTCTTCATTTTTTGGATCGCACAAAATATATATCCCTATGATGTTCGGGAAACATCGCCCAGGTATGGTACTTTCCGTTTTTCAAGATACAGAAATGTTGTATTTTTTGTGGGTATAACTGAAAATTTAGGAAGAATACCACAAAAAATACAGAATGACTTTTTTTTTCTACAAAAAAGCCGACTTGCCTGATGGGTACGCCCATGGAACTTCTGGATAAAATCTAATTGGTCCAGTAAATGTTTGATAATTGTGTCAATAAATCACAGAAATTTCATTCAAATCGGTTCAAACGTTTTCAAGATATTGATAAAAACCCTTTTTTTTAAATCGGAAACAAAATCATTTTTGGACCCATGTTTTACCGTAAGGGTCTATTATACGTCAGTCTAAACTGTGGTTCATATCAACTTTTTTTCATGTTTTGTTGAGAGGCTTTTGTCACCAAAACTTGGAAACACCCTGTATATCGTTATTCCATATATCGATATATTTATCAAAAAAATAATTTTTTCTCTCGAAACTGAACATTATAGAAACTTCATCCAAAATAATTAAATCTGGATGGCAACTACCTACTTATGTAATATATTTTCACCCCTAAAGAAAGGGTGGGTATTAATTTGATTCAGAGTTTTTTGAAGTATGTAATAAAAACATTATTGTGATCCTTGATAAAAAATAAAATAAAAATATTATATCATTAAATATCATTGTCTGGCAATTATGGCAGCATCTAGGGGTCAGGCAATCAAAATAGATTAATTTTTTTCAATATCAAGAGAAAAAAAATGAGAATTTGTGTTATTGTAATATCTATAATCAATATGACACCCCATCAAATCAACTTTATGAAGAAAAAAATACACTTTTTTTGGAAGAGCACTATCTGATAAATACTCTAAAAATTTATTTTGCTATTATTAACAAACACCTCAAATCTAACTTCATATTGGTAAGGAATTCTCAAATCCATGAACATCATACTAGACAATATGACTGGTTTCATCTTGATGCTGCTAATTGTACACTTGGCCAAAAAAAGTTTACTCACGGAGCTATCTCAAAATTCAATAAATTACCTGATGATATCAAAAGTTGGGTAGGAGCAAGGGTAGGAGGGTACATATATCACCCAATTCAAAATTTAAGTCAAGAAACATATCTTCTTGCAAAGAGAAAATCAAACCTGAGTGAATGATTTCTCATTCACTAATTTATTTCATCATGTCATAAATGAGCTTTTTGTTTTATTATTATTATTATTTTTGAATCTGTTGTTTATTTCAATAACTTAGTTTTAATAATGCATGAATAATATCCCAGGGGGAAACAACTCTTTAAATATATGTACACCATGGAATTTTAAGTTACTTCAAGTATCATTTTTAATACATTAAGTACAATTTATTAGGATTTTAAGTCTAGTTTTAAGTACTTCAGTATTTAAGTACCTGTTAACAGTACCTTATTAAGCTTTTAAGTACCAGTTTTAAGTATTTTAAGTACTTTTCAATTACCAGATATTTAAATATGGTGTACACATTTTGTGTAGTTGTTTCCCCCTAGATAATATCATACCAGATATGAATCTGTCTGATTATTCATGTTATTTCATTGTAAATCTTAATAAAATATTTTTTTTTATCAAACCATTTTAGCATACATATTAATAATCATATCAAAGAATGAAATAAATGGTGATTTGTTATTGATAATTTGGTATTTTTTCCCAGGCCTAGACTAGTCTTCATAGGAACATTTAAACTCTGAAAATGCCACTCATAATATTCAAGTTTGGTCCTAAAAAACTTCACCCTTGTAACTACTGAAGTAATTTATCAACATTACAATGGTAGAGCAGAAACTTGTTTCTTCTCAGGACTTCTCATGGTTTATTTACTTACAGGTGATCCAGGAACTTGACTGAAGCTGGCACTAAATCTTCTAGTTCTAGTCTGAGCTGAATTTCCAAACAAGTGGTTGAATGTTTGCTGCTCCCTGATTCAAAATGATAATTAGTAGGCATGAATTAAAACATATTCAATCAGGCATCACATAACACAAAGGTAGGTATATTTTTTAAAACAAATTTTAATGTGGTTAGAGATTCAGTGATAGGAAGGTTTTGCCATCAGTATAACCTTTTGCTGTAGCATACAAATTAACAAAAATTTTAGCACACTTTCTCAGGCCTAGCATTAAAGGGCCAGCTTGAGGTCACCAGGACAAGAAAATCTATATTTGCATAGGAATGTTGGGAACATACAGTGTCATTGACACTATATTATATATTCAAATGATTTACCAGTTTATGTTTTTCAGGTCACTGTTGTAAATGAAATGTACTTAAAGAACTACTGACAGTCTAAGCCAAATCCATTAAAAATAATACATAGCAGACTTGGAGTAAGAATATTTATTTCTGATTGTAACTTGGTTTGAAAAGACTATAAATAGAAGAAACTGAAGGGTCTTTGATTATCTAAGTAATGGGGAACAATCAACAACATTATGGCAATAAATAAAGTTGTCAAGTAGGTTGATAAATTGTTGTGATAGTATGAACCACACACAACAGGACAATTATTTAAAGAGTGAGCTCTTACTTGCTGGATGAACTTGCGTTCGCTGCGCTCATCACTGCTGTTGCTTCGTTGATCATGGGGGCGCTAGAGCTCCTCTTCAATGTGCCGGGTGCGCCAGTGGGACCGTCAACGTCCATAGCCACTGATTGGGAGTTTGTGGACGACATTCGGGAGATCTGGTACCCTTTTCGCGAACTTTACACACACCATTGGCCGTGCGACACTTTCGATAGCGAGAAATTGATATATCGTGACTAATTACTATATATAACTGAAGCAATTCGATAATTTGATTAGGAATTTACGGCAAAAGCGGTTCATTAAAGATCGGGATACCATTTTCGAAATGTCAAAATTAGCGATCACCGATCAAAAACCTTGAATGTCATTCTGTCAGTGTTTCGCAGCTGTCGTCACTCGTCTGACTGAAAGCCAGTGCTGCCACTCGAATTTGTGGAATTACTTGCAAATTTATTTCAAAATCCTTGCATTTTACTGGCAAAATTTCGAAAATCCTGACAAAATCCTTGCAAATATTCTTCTACAAAATGCTTATGAATTTCATGTTTTACACAAAACAATTTCGTGTGCTCCACTGTATCATCGTAATAAAAATAGAATAATATAAAATTGAAGGTGTTGAAACGGTTGAAATACTAGCCATTTTGACATTTGACAACTATGACGTATAAAAGCACGTGACATCTAGCGGCCAGAAGCCCAAGGGTATCCAAGTAACAGGATGGGATCTTCCTTCATCACTGGAATCCTTCGAAATATTCCACTCAAAATGAGCAGTGGTTGTATCATTATTTGAATAATTTCTGAACTGAGCAACCACCTTCTGATCATATCGTTTAATTTATAATTTTTTATCTAATTCCTCGCAATAAGGATCTTATATTATAATTAAATACTCTACATCTTTGCTCACTTCTCAAGCAGCGGCTGCCAATGAACTCAATCACAGCCGTCTTCAACTAGACGGCTGTGACTCAATGTGAACACTGTTCAATTGTCGCAGCAGGCAGGCCTCCATTTTTACTTTGTCATTTTCGATTGTCAAAGTCGATGACAACTGTCATCAGTGTCAAGTCAAGCCTCGATCCATTAGTCAATGACAAATACGCAAATACCACAGAAGATCTCCTTGCTGACACACTACGCAAAACGAAGTCATGGTCATTCACTCAGAATCCTTGCAAAATCCTTGCAAAATGTTGAATCCTTACCGATTACTGCAAAACTTTGTGATTACTTGCAAATGCAAGTAATTACTTGCAAAACGGCAGCACTGCTGAAAGCTTCTTATTTTTAATGTACGATGTTCTTGCAGTACTTTGCCAAGTTACGAAAAGTCTGCCTTCAGCCTATCTACTTTTTGCTTTTCTGATATGGACATTTAGAATCACAAACACGGAAGAAGAATCTTCTTTTTCTTCTTTTCGATTTGGATGGCCTTAGTTACCAGGACTAACTGGCCACAAAAGGAAGAAGAATCAAAATCAACATAACCTTTACGGATACCGAGTTTTGGAAATAAAAAATAAATAAATTTTCAACAAATTTCAGGATATTACTGATATTAGTTTTCAAAATGGTAATTAGGGTGGACTATGTTGTACAATACTAATCATATATTTTTCAGCTACCCCTTTCTTTGCTGAGAACTGCACAAAACCATCCCATGGTAAATATAAATAATATTCATAATATGAATATAGATAAAAATTCACAGAATTCAGAAATATAATCATCTCAAAATCGAAAAGAACATTATGAAAATGCGAAAATTGTCCGGTAACATGACATGGATGATGGACTTATGGAACAATTTTTTCAGTTGGTGGAGCTCAAAAATGGAGAGACCTACAATGGGCATTTGGTCAGCTGTGATAACTGGATGAATATCAACCTGCGTGAAGTTATTTGTACCTCTAGGGTAAATTCTACATTTTAATGAACTTGACTTTCATGTAAACTGAATTTCTTTGTTTTGTAGGATGGTGATAAGTTCTGGAGGATGCCTGAATGCTACATTCGTGGTAGCACTATCAAGTATCTACGTATTCCTGATGAAGTTATTGATATGGTCAAGGAGGAAGCTGTTGTCAAAAATAAGGGACGTGGTGATATGAAAGGTGGAAGAGGGGGACAGAACCAGAGGAATAGACCTGCTGCCAGAGGTAAACCAATTTTTCTATTTTTGAAACCAAATACACCTAGCATTGCCTGAAGTCAACCAAATCTATATGGAGAAAATGGATGGTTAAGGCTTTAAAGTTTTTCCTACATCTAAATAAGTAAATTATTTTTTCATGAGGTCTCTTGTAATGTCTAGATTCTGTGTCAATTTTTGCTTTCAATGTATTATTGTAGGTAACTTTGGGGGTAGGACCGGCAAACCTGGCAACCAAGGTGGTAGAAATCCACCATTTCAGAAGCAGAAGCCAAAACAGTAATATCACCAATCCATTTGTAATATTTTTCTCATTTCATCATTTTGTGATAATGTTTTTGATTGATTGATTTTGATAAGATGTTAAATATTAAGTTAAGATAATAATTGTGCATCCAAGATTCAGTCAGAATTGACTGATTATAAAATGATAATAATTCATAGATTCTATCAATTCTTCCACCAATTTGACCATTGCCTTCAATGCAAATCAAATTTCAATTCATCTGATGATATTCAGATTTTCAGGTAAGTAGCATAATAATACCAGGAATAATTTATAGGTACTTTGCTATATTATGATATATATTTCTTTATTTGGAGATCTAATGGTTGGGTTATTTTCATTGAATAAATTAACACACATATTGAAATGAAAGATTTATGGATAAAAGTCAGAAACTAACAAAATAGGTACATGTTATTATCATAATAAAATCTTGTGGGTATTTTCATCCAATCATCTTATTTCTATCTTGAGCTACATTTCTTGAATTGAATATTATTTCATTGAAAGTTTTGACATGGATGAATGAACTATGAAAGTCAACTCACAAAATGAATATGTATTCATTATCACATGTGTATTTACATTAAAATAAAGGTGGACCTGAGTGAACATTGATAGGTGACATCCCCACATTATGATTATAATACAGCTTGTTAAGCTTGAAACAAAGTAAAACTTATTAATAATTACTACTAAAATAAGAATAACAAAATAATCTGAACATACAAAACAGAGTACAAAAATATTTTCTTAGTCATGTGTTGGGTTATAATAATAATGATATTTTCACAATCTGAACTAACTGAAATATTTCAGTAACTGAATTAGTTCTGCTGTTTCCAAAGACTTTCAACTGGTTCAGTTCAATTCAAGTGAAATATTTCAGTTAGTTCAGAATGAAAGGATATCACTTATATGTATGTCCTGAGGTAGCCAGGATTAGAGTTCCTTAATGTAGCCAGGATCATTGACTCCTCTAATCTCCAGAGCTAAATTCATATCAGTAGGGTTAACTGTAACTCTTCGAGCATGATATGCACACTTATTTGCATCCTCAAACAGTTGCACCAGATACAGTTCTGCTGCTTCTTGCAAAGCTGCCAAAGCAGCAAGTTGAATCCTGTAGTCTTCACCAGCACCAGTTCTTTCTTGCAGTACCTCCCTTATTACCCTCGAAAACGGCAGCTTGGGAATGCATGAAGCTGTCGTCATTTGTAGCTTTTTAATGTGTTTCAAGGTGGTGTTTCGAAGCTTAAAAGATTTGTTCCCAATTCGGTACACCCTCGTTGATGATTTTTTCGTTGGTGACCCCCTCCGGGGAGTAGATTTTCGCTTAACCATGGTTAGTGGTTTTTACATCTGATGCAATGGGACTGTTTTTCTCCTGAACATTCACCATTCACTTTTCAGTTTGATGCAAATATGCAGATGCATTTTTGAATTTTTGAGGTTGTAATTATTAAAATATGCGTTGTCTAGCGTTGCGTCCCACCTTGTCCCGCCAAATTCATGAATGGAAACCAAAAACCACTGAAACTTGAGGCCTGTTCGTTTGTATTGCTAAACTTGCCAAAGCTGATTATTTTCCCATAGTTGTCTCTGTTCATGGCATGATGTAAACAAAGAAAGTCATAGAAAAAAATCAAGTTCAGCAGGAGGCCTGTTCGTTTGTGCTTGCCTTACCTGCTAAACTTGATTTTTTCCTATGACTTCCTCTGTTTACATCATGCTATGAACAGAGACGACTATGGGAAAAAATCAACTTTAGCAAGTTTAGCAATACAAACGAACAGGCCTAGGTAGACCAATCACAAACGAATAGGTCTTTGAAGACTATTTGAAACACAGAATAAAAAATCGAGCTAGTGCAACGAGTAAATTTTCTATACTATTGTCTATCCGTCTCTCTTCTTGACATGTGTTAAAAAAAGGTAATCCAAAATATATTCTCGTTTCGGGATTTTCATGTTGCCTACTCTTTGTATGTCAAACATCAAAATGTAATCCTTCAATTGTCAAAGTCACTAATGTCTGTTTTCAGTTTAGCCAATGCAAATGCATTTACAAATTAGCAACTAAAAATAAAAAAAACAGCAAAGAAAACCAAAACAGTGATGGCTCCGAAAAGACAGAAAATTACAAAAAACTCCAAGTTTCCGAAAGTAAAAAATTACGAAACGCTGATTTTAAGCGACGTTCTCTGTCCGATATGTAGAAGCATAATGACCGACCCAGTGTCACTTCCTTGCAATCACAATTTCTGTCTGTGTTGTTTTGAAGACACCATGAAGAATGTGAACCTAGTTTGTCCCCTTTGCAAGGTTCGTGTAGGCTCCTGGTGGAGGAAGACCAAGAAGGAAGGCAACCACGTAAATGTGGAGCTATGGAGGGTGATTAAGGACAGGTTTTCACAGCAAGTTATCAATAAACTGACTGGTATTGAAGAGGATTTGCAAGAAAGTAAATATTTGTTTAATCACAGTTGGAGCACTCTTTTATTTGTATTCATTTCAGAACCCCAGATAGTTGTAGCTTATCCTGGGGAAATACGGAAAGAATATGAGTTGCAGAAGAAGAAAGATGATGAAGAATTGCAAAAGAGAAGGGAGTCAGAAGTCAAAGCTAGTGAACAGTTGATAAAGTCATTGAAGGATGAGGAAGACTATCAGAGAGTTGTGAGAGAAGAAAAATTGAAGTTAGATGAAGAGATAGCTAAAAAACTAGCTGCTGAAATGTCATTTTCATCTCCGTCCACTTCACAAATGAAAATGAATTTCAAAAAGCTTGGTCCCATGGACAGATTTGTAAAAAAAGAAATTGAACCAGTCAAATTGCAAGTCACTGATCAAAAGCAGCACTTCAACAACAATTTTGCCACTAAAGAATACACCTGTAGGGTATTACGTTTGGACAAAAATGATAGGCAGAATAGCATGAAGATGTCATCACCAATCATAAGGAGAAAGATTCAACAGATAAAGAAAATCGTGGAATCAGAGACCCACAGTGATAGCAGTGATTGCATTGAGTCTGAAATGAGGTATTTCAAGCCAATAGATCACAGAATGAACCCTCCTTCTCAGGGAAAGCCACCAATCAAGATTTTCCCTAAAAAGCCACATAAAACTCCAGCTCCAGAGATATTGTAAGTAACACCTAATTTTCATACACTTTCAATAATAATAATTATAATGTTTAGTCCAGTGGACTATTTTTTTAATTTCTTTAATAGAATCATCACTAAAAATGTATTACATTTAAATTCATCAGTAATACCATGGTAATTTCCAAAGGGATAGAAATTTACCAGGAGTAAAAAGTGACCTCAGTATTTCCTAAGTAGGGACAGACCACAGACCATAACCCAGTTGCCATGTTGTGTTGAAATAGGTTTGGATACTTCAAAAATATTAGTTATTCAAACATTCATAAATTTAGCATTACAAAATCAATTGTCCCAAAATGTTCCATTATGATTTGTTGCTTATAATACATTTGTCTAGATAGTAATTATATTAATTCACACTAGAGGACATTTGAAGCAGTGAACATGACAACATGGTGTGCATGACTTGTGGGCGTGGTCTTCCCCAATAATGGCATATTAGTTCTCAATTGTTCGCAAGATGGCGACACTTTACAGCTTTCTCTCATGACAGAAAACGGCGCTTACACACTGCTTGCACCAGAAATTTTAATATCATAACCTTAGATCATACAGGAAATCATAACATTCATAACATAACCTCAAATCAAATGAGATTAAATTTGAAAGTAGGAAACTGTAATTTCAATTGTCATCAGTTCTACCAACCTTGGATGTTGGTTGAGATTCCGCCATCTAACGGGTAAAATGTGAGTTGTTTGGTAAATAAGCCTAGGCTACCTATCGGAGTTCTTGAAAGCTGTCAAAGTGGCATGGTTACTTTGTTTTCATTGGTTCACATTTGATTTTTGTTATTCGCTGCCGTCAGGTGGGGTGACGTGTTATTTTCAATTACAGTGACTGCATTTAACACAGTGACGACAACGGGCTGGCATCCGCCATGTTTAGGCTAATGTCAAATACTCTGTCTTTATCTAATTATTTGGTTATGTTTTTTGTTTGGGATATTTTGATAAGCATTTTGTTGTTATTTAGAATTAAATAATTATATTTCACTTTATTCAAACAATGTAATAGATATAGATCAGTTTAGGCTATGTGAATGACTTAGTTTCAGAAGAAGAATTGAAAAAGACTCGGAAGCTGGTACTCAAACCCACAGATAGGTACACGGACTTTGCTAAACTCAAAGGAATAACAAGTTTTCTATCAGGTAGGTAAAAGTTTGAGTTATTGAAAACAGTCTAATTAGATCTCTGGGAGAATCAGGAATGACTACTTCCAATAAGTACTTACTTTTTCCAGGAGTGATGATTTCAACTTGAAGGAAAAAGAAAATATGTAAAGCTTCTAAGGTAAAAATGTACCTATACTTTGTCTACTTCCAAACTACAATGAAATAGAATTCTGCATACAGGATTTTTTGAATGAGAAAACACAGTAAAGACAACATATCTGACAAAAATGGTGTATTGATCAGAACATCAGAGAAGGTGGCATGGCATGGCAATCTGGAATATTATTCCTCTCTCAAGTAAACCAATGGTAACCCACAGAAATTAAAACAGATATCATATGTACTTCCAATGATAATAATTGGTAATCCAAGAACTGACCATTTTGATTCTATGAATAGACTAAAGACTATACAGCTTGCCAGTCTTACTAAATGTGTAGGTGTTGTGTGTCCATAAGATTTGTTAAAGGAAAGGGAAAATGTGAATGGACTAGATGTTTACTTGCTGGAAATCAATCAATATTTTATGTACTTTCTAGGACACATATCAGATGAGATATTAGTAGATATATATTGAGAGAATCATTACCGGCATCACGGCATCAGGCAACCAATCACAGCGCTCGATATATATTGAGAGAATCATTACAGCTTCAATTGATATTTATTAATGTTAATTGATGACCGGGCAAAGGTCATCAGACTAATTTATATTGATTAACGAAATGCTCCATCAGATGAATTAATCAATGGATTCATCAGACTAATTATCTTCAATTGTGTGATAATTTTCAAATTGAACACTCCCTTCTAGTTTGGCTATAAATACTCTGGTGTAGTCTTGATTTCATTAGTGAACATGCAAGATAGAGACTTATTGGATATATTTATACAAAGTGGTGATTATCGTGTGGTCGAAACAAAACAGTGTTGTGTTTGCAAAAAAATTATCAATCGAACATATCTATCAAGTGGTTGTTGGTTGAGCAGACCAAAATTGACAATTGAATTGTGCAAACGTCTTTGCAAGCAAACGAGGCCAATAAAAGTCGTCAGATCTTACGCGAAGGATCCTTCATTAGTACTGCTGTCCCCCAACCATGAACATTTCTGAAAAAACGGAGAAAATTGAAGAGAACTGGGATAATGATGATTATTCCACTTATGTACCGAATGTCGAGGACAAAGACATTATCAGATGTCCACCACCTGGCAAGAGCAGAAGGGAAAAACGGAAATTCCGAATGGATGAGAGAATACGGCATAGTCAAATTAAAAATATGCTGACCCTAGAAGAACAGCAAGTCTGGGATGAAAAAGTATTTCAGAATCAGCATAGATTTTCTAATGTAACGGGAAAATGAGACTTTGATAAATGAAATGAATATCCTGTATCTTACCAGTTTCAATAAATATGACTTGAAAGTAGATGATGATTTCAGTTTATCAGAAGTTGTGACCATGATCACACCACAATGTTTAGTTTTACAAGTGATTCTTCAAGGCTTTCTCTATATCGCAAAACCTTATAATATAAGAGAAGTATTCATATGTTTCGATAGTGATGGTACACGAAATGAAAGTTGGCCTTCTAAATGGGCAAGAATGGAATCAACCACAATAAATAATGTTTCAACTCTCAAATCACTCATACCCAGCAATAGCACTATGTACAAGTTGCGATTGCGAAAGGGCAGTGGCTCCACCATTGATTCTGACTGGTGTGAACTAAATCCCTCCCCCCCACTACACCATGATACAACTATAATGAAGGATGATGCGGAATTCAGAATAGTCGATTGGGTTACGTACTACACAGCAGTGTGTGCATCATTGTTGCTGTTCAACCTCATTGTTACAACATGTCTAAAGATTGCCCTAACTGTTTAGTGACCGAACTCGTGAATAAACACCGAAACCGAAATAAAAAATTGTACGATTTTACCGAAGAAGAGCTCCAGAATTTTCCACTACATTATCTTATTAAAAATGTAGGTCCGATGGAACTTCTCTATGCATGGGACAAACTGCCATCAAAATATACAGAGAATTTTGAACTTCGTATCCAGCTACCATGCTTTGTCCACTTCAATCGCCCTGAATGGAGAGATCATGTAGACGGCCTTCCTCAAGCACAATCAAGCTGTCATGTTTGTAGATGGGGCCTCGAGCGATGTGGATAATATTAATATTTTGTATTGAATAAATGTAATAAAACAAATTCACTCGATAATGATTTTTATTTCATATGTCACAAATACTACATATTATAATCCATAATTACAATATACAAATGAAAATCACATCAAAACTATTGGTCAGAGTCTTCCTCGTCAATCAAATCTTGAGCTATTTCCAAAAACTCATCTAAAGTTCCAGTGATAGCTCCTGGTGTTATAAGGAAATGACCCCAAGCCAAAGTTTTCACATCAGAAGGAATTTTATAACGCTTATCATCAGCAGATGACAAAGCGACTTTATTTCTTAATTCCGTATGAATGGTGTGGAGAGAAGAAGTGAACATATACATCTTACGTAATATTGTTCCACCATTTTCTACAATATTCACATAGTCTGAAAACTGAATTTGGTTTTTGACCACGTTTTTTGAGACACCTTTGGCTTTTTTCATCACATCACCTGCTTTTACACAGTATGCTTTCGCACCAGTACCATAGAAAGATTCAATAGGTCTTGCGGCATATTCATCTTTCATGCGTCCTATAACAGATTTCGATTTGGGGATTTGGTGTATATTGTCTATGGGATAATTTGACGTATCGAAAAATTGGATATTTTCTTTCATATCATTATAGAAATTTTCTGTGAATATTTCTAGAATTAATGAATCCGTATCGGTGTAGCATAATGTTGCTTTATCACCATATTTTGCTTTGATATATCCATAGAAAAAATCGTAAATGACAGTTTTCGAAATATCCAATACCGAAAATCCAACATACATCGGTTTATCATAACATACACTAGTCTTTTCCAACTGAATTGCAACCAAGTTCTCACTGAATTCTGTACTGCATTTGAAATGTGGTTTGGCTATCAAAGCCCTTGCCCCCAGAGAATTTGTCTTATTTTCCCAGCGTGAGCAAAGTTGCAAGTCAATTCTTTTGTCGACATTTTCCATGGTTTTTCCAAATATTGAATTTATCAATAATTTGAAGAGTTCTCGTTCAAATTCGTTTACTGCGGAATTCCGGAGGTGCGTGTTCAGGTCAATATATGGCCTCAACCACGCCGATTGGGAGAATTCTAAGATTCTATGGATTTTCTCTAGTTTCAAACCATATATCAAACACTGCTTCAAATTTCGGTAATGTATAATGTATTTGCATTTGTTTCGTAAATTGGGGATCAGTTTGGCACTCTTACTCTTTGGCGGGATCATTTGTTCTGGGCAAAATGGTAAATCGTTGTGATCATGGTGTAGGTTGGCTGGATATTCCAAGTCCACTTCTAAAACGTATCCTTTTGATGAGTCGTCCTCGATCGCGTGACAGTCAAAGTTTTCGATATCCTCAGACTCGACCCACTTAAAATCACCTGTTGGAAGATGACTTGCCATACTTGCTCCATATAAATTTGTTGCATCCAAATACATGATGTATGATGTTGGTTTCTGAGAATCAAAGTTTGGTAGGAATTTGTTATTTGCCACAGCTCTTCTTTTGCTACATTGTGCCACCCCTCCTCGAATACCCTTCTTGAAAAAATGTATCATATCTATATCAGTCAAGAGCTGAAGTTCAATTTGTGTATAACGTAACATAGCATCCCAGCTCAGTGC